TACTCACATTCCAAGGTGCGCACAGTGATCAATATTATATTGATGCCCTCTGATATGTTCTTCAGTCCCCAGACATGAACCGAACTCACCTCTCTCGCGACTATAACTACTGCATGTATGTTCACCGTACTACATCAGACTGTCACTTGGCCTCGTCACCATCGGCATTTAGGTTCTTTCAGAAGTACTTATCCTTGCTCAAGATTCCCTATAACCAGTGCGTCACTTCCTTCTCTCTTTGATTCTATCTCACACTGAATACGACCAGATTGTATTCACCGCAAACAATCAGCGCTGGCCGTCCCTAGCCACTCCTCCGCACCCTATCCTCTCACAAGAGCTTCTCAAGTGTGACAGGCCGAATGTCGCCAAGGAGATCTGCCTTTTGTGTATGTATTCTATGTCTTCATCCCTCATCGGCATGACTATGACACCCATTCACAGAGCCACACGACCCCTGTCGATCTGCGTAATAACGGTGCGTATCCTTTCCTTCCCTGCGATAGCATTCTGATCAACTGCTAGCTGGGAGCACGCCCCGCACTTTCATCGACATCAGCCCTGTCAGCGGCGCAATCCCCACCGGCCCTCACAAGTCTCCGCTCCCCTCTCCCTCGGACCGCTCGCTTATGCCTACACCCGGCGACTAGAGCATGGGATCCGTCTCAGAAGCATCCATCGCCAAGCTATGGGGAATTGTCGATCCCTGCGCGATTTTCAACGTTCGCCCAATCAATCTTAGGCTATGGCGCCAATCCACAGGAGTACGTGGCACATGTCTATCTTCCTTGAACAGCCGTACGTACCCTCCCCTTGCCCCCAGCACACATTGTGATGACCCAGCAGGTTGACGACACACACCGCATCCACTCTGAACATCCACCACCACTGTCCAGGTGCCTCCCCATATAGAACTTCTTTCGTCAGCGGTGCGTACCCTCTCCTTCGCCATTCTACACATTTGATCAACTTCTAGTCAGGAACGAACACCGCAGTTCCAGTTGGAGGCCAAGGTGTGTAAGGAACATCATCACGCTCTGCTCTGACGCGTTTCCAGGCATGAGATATCTACTGGATTTACATCTCTCGCTGTCACAATCACAGCACGTATAAGTACTCCATATCACAGGTACACACACCACTGGCTTTTCGTGTCGACATCTCAAAATGACCATGCTCAGATACAATCCCTTTCTTCTCGACATGGGCTGTCTCTTCCAACTATCACTCCAGGAATGCACTTGCCACCAACGATCAGCGCTGGTCCTCGGTAGCCTCTCCTCTGCACCCCATCCTCTTACAAGAACTTTCCCTCTGGCGGAACCCACCGTATTTCGCCAAAGAGATTCTATGAACGTATTCTGCATTCTCATCTCACATTGATATGACTACGACCCCCATTCACATGAGCACGTGATGTCGGCCCATCTTCCTCCTTGAACAACTGTCCGTACCCTTCCCTCCCCGCTACTACTCGCTCTGACGAACTGGCAGGTTGTGAAACATGCGCCTCACTCTCTTCTTTGTGCACCCCATCCGCAGTACATCCCGACCGCCCATGTGTACCCCTAAACCGCTCCTTCCCCCCCTTCCACCATCCACCACCATCTGCCAATGAATGCCTACTTACTTACAGAAGCTGATCCATTATGGATAATACCGAACATCCGGCGTCACCCTCCACCCTCTCTCCTCCCCCTGCGCACTTCTCCCGCTATGTACGTGTCCACCCGTCGTCGGAATGACCCTGACACTAATGCGAAGGGGGACATGATACATACCTTCCCTCCTTGGATGACTGTGCGTATCCTCTCCTTCCCCATAGTACCAGACGTGGCTCACCGCCAAGTTAGGAACGAACACTGCACTTCTAGTTGGAGACCAAGGTGTGTGATCACTCTCATCACATCCCGCTCTGACACGTTTCCCAGGAACAAATATTCACTAAATTCACTGCTCTCGCTATCATAATGCTCGATGTATGTTTGCTGCAGTGAACAGGACTATAACTGGGTCCTATCACTGTCATCATTGAGGTTCTATCAGAGGTTCTTATCCTTGCTCAACGCTCTCTGTATTGCCGGTACGCCACTTCCGTCTGCTGTCTTCCCCTCTCACATCACACTGAGTGCGAGCTGATTCACCTGTTTCCCCTTAGATATGTTCTCTGGACGTTTCTGGCTCACTCCCATCCCAGGAGTGGATGCTGCCAACATTCAGCACTGGTCCTCCTTCGCCTCTCCTCCGCGCCCCTTCCAATTGCAAGAACTTCCCAAGCATGGCACACCGCCTATCGCGAATCGATGCGCCCACTGTGTACGTATCCTATGTCCTCCTTCGTCGTCGACCCCAACGTGACTCTCATCCGCAGGAGCACATGACGTCTGCCGACTCCGTCCTTCAGCACTGTGAGTACTCTTTCCTGCCCCATAATGCACGTTGTGATCGATTGCCAGGTTACGAATCCACCGCGCACTCTCTTCTATGTGCACCTCGTCCGCAGTGTACTCTTATCGACCTTCACAAGCGTTCGCCTCGTCCTCTCCCAGAAGCGTCGCCGACCACTCCGCATGCTCGCCTCTCACGGATGCTGCGGCGCACTGTGCCAACGGATTCCTTCGTTCTGCTCTCTCTCCTACGTCTTTCCCCAGCGGACTCAGTCCCACTCCCAACCTCTCACTTGCATTTACCACCAAGCTCTCCGCATGTCGTCCCTATCTACCGCGTATCCGATCAGTCAGCCATATCCTTTATCCGTCATAGAATCCGTTGTCGCCAACCCCTGAAGACATATACCTGCTGTCAACCATCACTAGCGCCTCCGTGGCCTCTCTTCCGCGAACCCATCGTCTTGTAAGAACTTCTTCTCAAGCGTACTGTGTCGGGTGTCGCCACAGAGAGGCACCCTTCATGTTTGTATTCTATGTTTTCATCCCCCGTCGAATGTGACTATGACCTTCATCCACAGAAGCACATGATACCAGCCTATCTTCCTCCCTTCAATAACTGTGCGTGCACTTCCCTCCCTCCTACTAGTTCTGACAAACTGGCAGGTTATGATATCCACACGACGCTCTCTTCTCCATGGTCATCGTCAGCAGTACTCCACGACCGACCTTCACACCTCTCCCTTCGCCCTCCAACTTTCCTTGTCCCTATCTCATTCGTTCCTACACCCCGGCTGCTCCGCATCCTCGCCGCTGTGGACGTGCCGCCGCAGCACACTCTGCAGACGGTTCATGCACGTGCCTTCTTCGTCTCCGCCACGATCATCAGCAACATACTCGCTCACTTCAGTTCCCAACCTCTTACCCTTACCCCCAAGCCAAACCTTCTGGATGCCGTCCCTTCCCATCGCATACCCAGCCACTCAGGTCGGTCCCCCATCCAGCACAGAAGTCGCCATCCCCCATTTCATGAGAGGTGTCTATCCTCGCACGAAGATGAAGATTCAATGAAGTTCCCGTTCACCACCGAGAATAACCGTCATGCCGACAGTCGAGCTTTCGTCCCTTGTGCTCAGATGACAACGGTACGCCAATGTCATCAATTCCGCTTTCAAGCCTCTAACTTTGGTTCAGACCTAGTGACGGGCCGCTATGTCGGAAAGTGCACCTGAAGATTATCTGGCCCAGGTCGGCGGTTGATTGTGCCCTGCCTGCACGTCGGCCTTTGGTTGTTATGCTCATCAGCTCTCCCATTATGGTGTGTGGCTCTCTCCCCCTATTATCAATAACCTTCAACCCTGATCGCACTAGGTGTACGCCATCGCCTTTGTTTATCTATTCGCACTTGATCATTGCACACGTTCCTGTCAACCACCACGAAGTATACCGCCCATCACACCAGCGCACACGACGCTACCCTCGGGCACAGAGGCAATACTGGACGACTCTACCTGAACCGCCTTCTCTCAGAAGTGCAAAGCCTTATTCACGGCGACACGACATCCTCCGTGTCACCGGTACGTTCCTTCCTCTTCCCTCGTCCACGCTGATCACCTAATAAGGCCTCGCTCCTCCCTTCTTTTCGCAGTTCTTTCTCACCCGCCGCTTATATGTCTCTCCCCCACCGCCGCCCGCACCCCCAGGCTGACGCGCCAGCGCCGTTCCCCTCGTATCCATCCGCATCCAAGGCGCCTACGAAACCTACTTCGTCGACTCGTACAACGTCGTCTTCAAGGTACGCGGTGTCAACCTGTCCGACGCATCCGAGACGTTCCGCCTCCCTCGAATACTTTTTCCCTGCCACTGATGTAGGCGCGGGCCAGACTGATCGGGGTGTTTAGTGAGGCGCAGTGTGACATGAGAAGCGATCGAGCATAGCGTCCCGTGCGTCCACCCTCGTCCTTCCGTCCTCTACGTGGCGATAACTCACCACAGAGCACAAGGCAACAGCGACTACCGGACGTACGTAGGAAGAGAGGGGTATTTAGCCTGGAGGTATCATATGCTTGCGCCAGCGACGTTGAGGTGGGTCTCCCCTTTCTTCTTCCCTTCTCGACGAGTGCTTGATGAGGGAACAGGATCCTCTTTTGGGTTGAGGAGACATTTTCGCTGAAGACCGGCAAGCAAAAGAGCAATACGCACACCAGTTCCTCCAGGACCGGTTCCAGGAATCTTCGGGAGTACTCGTCCAGTGATTCTCCCCGCTCCCTGGGATACTCTGATGCCCCTCACTCCTCACTTACACTGGACACATGACGAACGAGCCCCATTACAGCTACGTGGGAACCACATGCTACCTCACCGACTTGCACGTCCTCACCCCTCTCTAGTCAAACTGAGAATCGAGTGTCCCCTCAAAGCTTTCTTAGAGTGGTACCTCGTCATAAAGAAAGTCGATAATTCCGGGATCATACCAACCCTCGCTCGGCGGCCTTGTCGAGACGGACTCCTTCGGATGTCGGATCATAAACTCACGCCACGAGTTTTCCGTCCATGTATCTTGATGCGTGCATCATCTTGCATCTCCTCCAATTCCAGCTTGATCGATGCAGGCACTAGCCTGAAGTGCAGTTTAGCGCGATGTAACACGAAAGTTGAGAAGATGGCTCGCAATGGCGCTTGTAACCTCCATTCTATGAAGCAAGGCAGCGATCGGCAGTGGGTTCTTCGTGAAAAGTAGCGACCTCTTCGTGGACAGCAGCAACCTCTTCACGGAAAGTAGAGCTCTCTTCGCGCATAGCAGCGACATGGGCGGCAACTGCTGCGCGAGTGGCATGGACCGTGGTATTGATCATTTCACGGAGAGTAGGTTCAAGCTCCTGTCGATACACCAGGTTCTCTTGATGAGCACTCCCACAGAACTCTTTCACAAGAGGTGTATCACTAGCTGTTGCCACCTAGCCGAATTGTAGGGTAGTCATTTCCCTGCTTGTGAACTGCTCTGCAAGCCATCAAGGCGATGTCAGAATGTATTCGGTAGGCAAGAATATTGCGCACGATCAGAACTATTTTTCTTGCCTCAGTCTTGTTAATTTAATGTAGTCAGAAGACGGAAGCATTTAGAAGCACAGAAATTAGAATCCGTCCGCGCCCTGCCCTTTCCTTGAAAGATATCTTCGCCTCGTCGACCTGCCCTCTCCTCACAAGTGTATCTCGTCTATCAGCAATGGTGAGCATCCCTTTTCGTCGTTCTTGGGACGCGTAGAGGTATCTGCAAGGCTTGGGGAAGGGATGTTAGAACTGGGACGAAGACGGTGAGGTGGATGTGGATGCCAGAGGGTGGATGGACTCGGTGGTTGGGCGCCCGGCGCGTTAGATGGCCCTGGTGTCTCCGAGCCTTGCAGAACGTCCAAAGTGTCAGTGGGAACATGTTTGCTAACAGATCTGGTTCTCTAGGCCTCTGCCGAACTCGCCACAACTTACGCTGCCCTCATCCTCGCCGATGACGGTGTAGAGATCACCGTGCGTTTCCTCGAATAACCGTTCGTTCATGCCCTAGTACTGACCTTCATCCAGGCCGACAAGATCAACGCCATCACAACAGCGGCCAAGGTCGATGTCGAGCCCATCTGGGCAACACTGCTCGCAAAAGCCCTCGCTGGGCGGGAGGTTAAGGAGATGCTGATGAATGTCGGTGCTGGCGGTGGGGCACCAGTCGCTGGCAGCGCACCTGCTGCTGCTGCGGGCGGTGTTGCTGTTGAGGCCGCCGCAGAAGAGAAGGAGGAGGAAAAGAAAGAGGAGGAGAAGGAGGAGTCAGACGACGACATGGTATGTCTGCTCTTTCAGTTGCATTGCACTCTTGTTGATGCACGATTCAGGGCTTCGGTCTCTTCGACTAAGCGTCTTGGGTGTTGGGTGGTCTCTTATTGCTTCTCTCTCGCATCCTTGCATACAGCATGTCCGATTGTCATATGTCAGATTATGGTAATGCATGTGGCACATGAAATTTGGGCGTGAAATGGTGTGATCAAATTGTAGCATGATTCGCAGCTCAGTTCATCAATGTGACAGTGCCTGCTGCACGTATCTCACACCCTCTGATTTTTCTCAGCCCTCACATTTTACTCCCTCAACAAAATAACAGTTTACTTGCAAAAATGTCAATATTTATTAGTATCTGTCACATTCGCCACACATATAGTAGAGACCCACGGAGATGGAACACTCGTTCCCAAAGACAACAACGCCTAAAGATGAAAAGGGTATGATAACAGGAAATTCCCAGAAAACACTCAGGTGTCCATTGGACCCGTAAAGAATTCGCCAGTGTCGTCCTCGTGTACACCGTCCACCGTTTGTAAGACCTCAGCATCGGTCGCCTGCACGCCTTTCATCGCCCCGGTGTCCTCCACTTGAAGGTTGGGCAGTTCAGCCGGATCAACCATCTCAGGTTCTGGGGCACCATCCGGAACTTGGGCAGCCTCAGCCTCACCCGGGTCTTCGACGTGCTCTGTAACCTGAGCCTCGACGCGCTCTTCGATCTGCATGTCTGTGCGCTCTTCGGTTTGTACGTCTGCACGCGCTTCGGTCTATGCCTTTGTATGCTCTGGCACCTGCACTTCTGCGCGCTCTGGGGCCGCTGACTCTGCCTTCCCCACAGGTGGGACAACTTGATCCAGCTTTCGCTTCATCGTCTCCCTCGTCGCAAAGCGCGACATAAAGTGGTCCAAGTTCACGGCCCATCTCTCGGCCAATGCCTTCTTCGCTGCTTGCTCAGATTCGACAAACGTCATCCCCCGACCGTGATATATGTAGTCGACAGGCATCATTGCGCATAGTTGACCAGGGAGTGCACCAGCAAGGGACTGGAGCTGGTCACTGCCTATCCCGTTACGATTTGGGTCTCCGATAATCAGTTGCAGTCGGCTGCTCTCTACAAGCAGATGGCGATAATAACGACCAGCTATGGCAAGAGGACCAACGGTAACACCGATTGTGCCAGCCTTGTGAAGACAGCGGAACTTGAACCCGGGTGGGGCTTGAGGGAGCGGGTACTCAAATGTAGGCAGTCCATCTTTCCCCTTGAGAGGCGGTTGTGCTAGCAAAAGTCTTTTCATTTGTTGATGAAGGCTCGGTGGCGTCGGCAGAATACCATTGGGGACACCCAACTGCATGGCGGCATGTGTCGTTCCGTTCGACTGAGGGAGTATAGTGTGAGCAGCTCCTTTGGTAGTCGAGCCATTAGCATCAGCATAGGATGCATGTTTTGCTCCATTCATCTCAGAAGACGCAGGTGGTGCAGTCGGACCAACAGGCGGGGCAGCCCCAGCAGTAGGCAATATAATAGGCACAGGTGGAATAGGCTCTTCCTTGATCAGGTCAATATCTTCAGGCGTGTTCTCCGGGACAAGCTCATACAGTCTTCCTTCAGTGATGATCTCCCTGTCGTCTTTGGTGACCTTCTTTCTCAAAATCCAACGGATCTCGTAGAACAACCCGCGGGTTGCCGAACCAGGCGTTGGCTCTCGAGAAATGCCCTGCAGGTTCGCCCAAGGCGTGTTGAGCCGCACGAGGTCGTTCTGCCATATGCGCTCTGCTCCGAGGTACATGCCTTGCAGGAGGGTGAAGTCGACGAATTTTGCGCTGAACACCTCGCCCGGCTCGCGGAAACGTCGTGGTGGGGTGAGCTGGAAATCGAGGAACCATTGTCTGTCGGCTTCGTAGGGGTCGGAGACGGACCATTTCTGGAAGATTTCTCCTGCGAGCATGAGAGCAAGGACAAAGGACGGCCACGCGTCGTCAAAGCGCGGTATCGGTGGAGGGGCGTAAGGGATGACAGGCTTGGACATCTGAGGTCGGAACGTGTCGAGGCGTTGTAGATTTGTGCGAAAGTCGGGAGGGAGATCCTGGCACATGAGCCAGTTGAAGAAAGCAGATGGGACAGCATATGTGAGGAAGGGGGCAATGTCAAGCATCGAGATTCGTTCAGTCTGATGAGCAGCAAGGTACATGACAGTGTTTGTCGGCGGGCTCTGCTGCAGGATATTTGGGTGGTATTCGGGCTCTGCCCCTTGCCGTTTTATGAGTGCAGGCCATAAATCTATGCGCTGCCATGGCTCTGTTCCTTGGATCGGAGGGTCAAGAAGCGCCCACACAAGCTCGCTCTCACGATATCGCCTTTTTTCCCAGTATGCGAGATCCATATGCCGTTCCGGCTCGACAGCGCGCATGAGTGCGGGAGGCGGGGCCGCACGGGTTTTTTTAGTCGGAGTAGAGGCGGGGGTCCCGTCTTCAGCCATGCTCGGATCATGACGGGGAGACAAGTCTGCCAAACGCGCGGCTTTAGGTGGTCGGCCAACCCCGCGGCGAACTTTTGGTGCACTGGGACCGGCAGGGGGCGGTTTTGGTTTGTTGGGAGATGGCTCTTCCCCTCCCGCCTTCCTTTCCGCGTTCTTGTGTCGGTTTTCTCCAGAACAGTAGATGCAGGTACATGTTTCTTCTTCTGCGTCGGGGCCTCGGAAGAGCCATAACGCGTGTGGGATGAACTCTTTGGTAGATCGGAATTTCAGCACTTTCTTCGACCCTATGTTCGTCGGTCAATACTGCATAGACGATCTCAGGGCATATATGCGCACCGAAAAGGTACGGATCCGTACGAAGGCTTCTCGGGTCACCCTTGCAGTGTATGAAAAGAGCGTAGCCCTCAGGAAAATCATCGATAATATACTTTTTCGCTTCTACGCGTCAGGGTGAGCATACAAGTGCCAAAGCACATCAATAGCGCGCTTACCATCGGGCGCGAGGCTAAACGCGTTCTCAGCGATATACGCCCCCGTCGCCTTTCGCCATGTGACGCTCTTCGCAGACTCTCTTTCGGCCAGCTGGTGGTAGTTTACCTTGCCTTCTACTTCAATGGGCTCGACGTTCTCTGGACACCGGGGCGGGTCGCTTGCGTCTGTGCGCCAGAACCGAAGTACGATCTCCCCGTTTGCGTTCATCTCTTGCGGTGCGGGTCGGCCAGTGCCATCAAATCCTGTGCGAGAAGTACTGCTTCCTGCGGCCTCGCTCATCGTGCTGTTATATCCGAGGTCCAGGTAAACAGAGTAAGCAGGGAGGACGCCGACCAATAACCAACACGATGAACTTGCGTCCGTTTCGTAAATGCGGAAAGGCTCCCCAGGCTCCGCGTGTTTCGGAAGCAATTATGTCCTTAGAGCATCGCCACTCCCCCATGTTTTTGTTTGACGACATATCGGTGGTCAAATGGCAGGACACATAATCACATCCCTTGTATTCCTGGCTAGCTCATATGTACTTCAACACTGAATTCTTAATCACATATTCACCATTTGTTACAGTCAATCTCTAGCAACGCCCATCAATCCTGAAAACGAAGACGGAAGCCCATCATCCCCTAGGAGGCCAGTCCTCAAACTGGGCCGCCCCCTCCAACGCCTTCGGCCACCCCAACTTACGACTACAAAACATCTCCATCTGCGGCCGTCCCAGGCTGTCCAGGTCCTCAGGATCGAGCGTACCGATTCGGAGCACGGCCATGCTGGGGATCGCCGAGGGAAAAGCGCAGAATTGGGTGCCGCAGGAGGGGCAGAACGCTAGTCCCCAGTCGGTGTACGAGGAGGGAGGGGGCCTGTCGCTGGGACGAGACCAGCATTTGAATGGGCCTTCGATCTTGAGCGACTGGGAGCAGGATCAACATCAGCATCAGTGTCTACATCAGCATCGCCTGGGCCTCGGACGCACCTCCCGCGGAACGAGCAGGTTGACACTAAACATGCTCCCCGTCTGGCGCTTGCAGCCATGACAGTGGCACACCCCCGGTTTTCCGGGAGGAGGGGCGAGGATGTCGTACTTGATCTGGCCGCATATGCATTCTCCGTGGAGGGGTTTGAAGGGCTCTGTGGTGGTGGGAGGGACGGACATGTTGCTGCGTGGTGATGGGGATACTGCGGGATGGAGGGCTATATACCCTCCCTTCTTGGTGTGGGAATCCGGACGCACCTAAACCTCCTGTTGAGGCAGTAAGAGTCACCGTGGTGCACATACAGTGGAGCTCTTGGCATGACAACTCAAAATTAGACACATCACGTGTTCCTGATCGTCAGCGTCTGATGTTCCTGATCAGGCTTGTTTCCTGTGATCGGACCCCGCGGTCTCAGTTGAGTACTGATGTGTGAGATGCCTCGCTTGGAATGAAGAAGACTGTCTCTGTGCTCCATCTCTCTCTTTTGGAACTCTGATCAACTTGCGTCTTTCATAGGAATGTGCTGCTGTGGTATACTGAGTGTCTTATCCTCGGGTCCGCGTTGATCAACCCAAGAGATGCTTTCCCGGTGTTAATATGTCCTCGTCCCTCGGATGCACGGAAAGATGAATGCACTGTCGTTGTTAGCACGACCAAAAGGTATTTAACTTCCCTCCCATGGCTCGACGTACGAACAAGCAAGCCAGCAGCCAACTCACCTGCAACCCGCCGCCTCAACCCAAACCTCGTACGTTCTCCTCCCTCCAAATCCCCCCGCTCACTCCTTCCAGACCACACCTTGCAAAACCCACTGGAAAGATGCGATTCACGTGGTTCGACAACCCCGATTTGATAACTGACGACCTCCGCCTGCGTCGCCTGTATGGCTGTCTCCCTGTTCGCGTACGTTGCTCCTAACGCGGGTATGTAGGTTCCTGACGTGAGCTAGAGGTATCCGGTGATGGTTGGCACGGGAGTGAAGAGTACGGGTATGGCTGGGTGTTTGTATTCTCTATAACCGGTAGAACCCAAGAACTGTGAAATTCCAAGTCGTCTCTCACCATCCTAACCACCAAATTCTGTAACTGGTTGCCAAATTGATTTTTATTCCCTGTAATAACCGGACCGGAGTCATGTTCCCTGCCCAGAGAGTGCCATTTAAGCGGGCCGAGATAATCCGAGTACAAGTCCGATACTAAGAGACTCAGCCATTTCACCCAATAAGGAAAGAGTATTTCGTCACTGTGAGTGTCCGACTCTCCCCCTCATCGTCGCTTCTCTCTTCTTCACCACCATGCACATCCTGCGTCCTCTTCATCGTCTCTCCCGTCTCGCCAACACCGCCCACCGCGCACTCCATCTCACACCACCACTCCAGCGTGAACCCTTCGACCCCCTCACAGTCGACCGCGCATCGGACGACGTCGACGTATGCATCGTCGGTGCAGGTCCAGCAGGGTTGAGCGCGGCGATCCGGCTCAAGCAGTTAGAGAAAGAGCGGCGGAGGGAAGTCCGTGTCGTCGTGCTCGAAAAAGGGAGTGAGGTCGGTACGTCCCCCTTCACCGCATGATAAGGGAACCCAGTGCTCAGTTCACCAGGCGCGCACATCCTCTCAGGCGCAGTCGTTGAGCCCAGAGCGCTGAACGAACTCCTCCCTTCCTGGCACACGATGGATGGTCACCCGCTCACCCAGCCAGCTACGAGCTCGACGATGCGCTTTCTCACTTCCTCCGGGTCGTACCCCATGCCTCATCCTCCCCAGATGGACAACACCGGCAACTACGTGCTCTCCCTTTCCCAGTTCGCGCGCTGGCTTGGCCAGGTAGCGGAAGACGAGGGCGTGGAGATCTACCCTGGCTTCGCCGGTGCCCAAACCGTCTACTCCGAGGACGGCAAACGCGTACAGGGAGTCATCACTAATGAAGTCGGACTGGACAGGCAGGGAAGGATGAAAGACTCTTTCGAGCCCGGGATGGAGTTTCGCGCCAAGGTCACGCTCGTCGCTGAGGGCGCGCATGGGAGTCTATCCAAGCAGCTGCAGAACAGGTTCAAACTGCGCCAAGGGCGCGACCCCCAGACGTACGGACTCGGTGTGAAGGAGGTATGGCGCGTTCGGCCAGAGGCGTACGTTCCGGGCAAGACGGTGCACACTATGGGATGGCCGCTCAGTAGGGACGTGTATGGTGGTGGGTGGCTGTATCATATGGCCGATGGCATGGTCAGTCTTGGTCTTGTCATCGGGCTGGATTACGCGAATCCGTATATTAGCCCGTATCGCGAGTTCCAGGTGGGTCTCTTCCTTAGCTCAGGACCCCAGCTGATTCGTAGCAGAGGATGAAGCACCATCCTTTCTTTAAGTCTGTTCTAGAAGGCGGCGAGTGCCTAGCCTACGGCGCACGCACGCTAAACGAAGGCGGCCTGCAGTCCATCCCGCAACTGCATTTCCCAGGCGGTGCACTCATCGGCTGCTCTGCAGGATTCCTCAACGTGCCCAAGATCAAAGGCACGCATAACGCCATGAAGAGCGGGATGCTAGCTGCCGAAGCGGCCTATGACGCGCTCGAGCACGCAGGAGAGGGCGAGGTGGTCGATATGAGCAGCTACGAGGAGCGCATGCGCGGCAGTTGGGTGTGGGACGAGTTGACCGAAGTGAGAAACTTGAGACCGAGCTTTGCCAAGTGGGGATTCTGGGGCGGGCTCGTCTACTCCGGAGTGGATAGCTTGATCTTGAAGGGTCGGACTCCTTGGACGCTACGTACGCCTGTGGGGGATGCGGAGCATACCAGGAAGGCGAGGTGCGTACTCTGTCTTACTTCTGACTATAGACGGAGCTGAATCCGGGATAGCGAATTCAAGCCTATTGACTACCCTCCCCCCCAGCCTCCGCTCTCGTTCGACATCCTCACTTCTGTCTCTCTGACAGGGACGAACCACGCCGAGGACCAGCCTGTACACTTGAAGGTCAACCCGGGGATAGAGGCGCGCAAGAAGCACGTGAGGGAGAACGTGCAAGAGTATGCTGGGCTATTGGGGCGCGCGTGCCCGGCGCAGGTGTATGAGTATGTAGACCAGGAGCAGGGAGAGGGGACGCTTCCCGGGGCAGAGGAGAACGTAGAGGATGCTGGGTGGGACGGGAAGAAACTGGTGATCAATTCCCAGAACTGTATCCATTGTAAACTGTGCGATATCAAGGTGGGCTTTTTTTCTCCTGTCCTGGAGGCGCGAGCTCAGCGCGCTTCGGTATAGGTCCCGACGCAGGATATTAATTGGACTGTGCCTGAGGGTGGGGGCGGGCCGAAGTATTGTGAGTTCTTTGGTGCATTTGTCCATCTTATGGGAAGGTGTTGACAAGGATTTCAGCGCTCACATGAGTGGATGTTGGGAGCCCTGGTGAATGATAGATCGTTGTAGGCATTGTACCTAAGCAAAAGAGAACGCGATGATTGTTCGCCATCAGGGATGTTCAGAGTGGCACTTTTGCCTAGACAACTATGGAAAGCCTAAGAGGACAGCTCCGCGTCGCAGTTCAGACCCCTGGTAGACCCATCGTAGACCTAACACTTGGGTGGCTGAGTACCTTAATTTGCCTCCATTTCAAATGCCGCTTCTCACCGGCTATTCACACAGACCACTTGTTGACAAAGGTCAGGGTCAGTTGCCGGTAACAATACTTCTTCCTTCATTATTCACTCCAATGGTCTCCCTTTGCATCTCTGCTCTACAAGTCCCCAACCAACTTATTAGCTTCATTCTGTCCATCACTTCTGCCTGCCACTGGACATCAAACCAATGCAGTATCCTCACTTCAATGGTGTGAGATGATCATCAATCCATGGTGCTGAATGTGCCCCAGATGAGGAGCAGGTTGACATCTCCAACAACATATCATCATTGTCATAGTGCCTCCTTGCAGGAGCATGATGGCATCTCCAAGGACATGTTGTCATCATCATAGTGCCTCCTTGCAGGAGCATGATGGCATCTCCAATGACATGTTGTCATCATCATAGTGCCTCCTTGCAGGGGCACAATGACATCTCCAATGACATGTCATCATCATTGTAGTGCCTCCTTGCAGGGGCATGATGACATCTCCAATGACATATCATCATTGTCATAGTGCCTCCTTGCAGGGGCATGATGACATCTCAAATCACATATCATCTTGTCATCATCCTGAGGCACTCCAAAGTATATATTCAAGAAGTTATTCCATTAATTTTTGTTAGTTAGCATCAGTATGATAGAAAGTGTTGAATGAATGAATAATGTATTGTACCCCAATCCTGTCCCTGCCCATCCTGCATCTCTCTCCCTTTCAGCTCCATTTCCCTTCACCCTCACCCTTGCATGTTTTCATTCTTGAATGGCACCAGCCCATATGCATGACAGAACTTGTTGCATGGGTGTTGCTGCTCAAAAGTGGCGAAGGCATGCCCCACATTCCCATCTCTGAAGATCTCTTGTTTGATGTCCCTGATAACACATCAGTGACAATCATATCCAGAGTTTGACAGGCCTTACAGTGTTGTCATAATCTGGGGATCCATCAACAGGCCTCCATATCCTTGAGGGTGGGTCAGTTCCACTGGTTGCAAAGTCCATTCCACACTCACCTTGGAAGTTGCTTAGGAAGAGCTGCCCCCCACTCATATGGTACTGGAGATGCTGCAAGAAGGCCAGGAAGTATGCTATCTTGCTGTCTTGACCAGTGTGGTATCACAGTTTGGCATTTGCATTGTGAATATACTTGATGAAGCCTCCCTCTGTGTCTTTCATATTGATAAGCTCCTCCACCAGGTAGACAAGCAGATGACATGTTGGCTGTCCCTTGTCCTTTGGTGGGTTTGGCAATTGAACACAGAACAGCCCACTCTCAATGAAACAGACCTGGGGGAAGTTGATTGAGGAGATGGGGTCATCTGGTCTGGCTTTGCTCTTCGCATGCTTAATCAGCTTGTAGACCTTCATCATCAGGGCACTTGCCCACATCATGCAAGTTGCCTCCCCTGCCAGTTTCTTCTCCTCTGCTTCTTTATCCACATGCACCAGATTCTCATACAAGGGTTGGCTGCCAGTTCCACCACCAAACACACCTTGTGGAACATACCAGCACTTGAGGGCAATGGCAACTCATTTGTTGGCTTTGAAGATGATGTCTTCAGCCAGGCTTGGCTCACAAGCCAACTCATGCAACACCATCGACCCAGGATGAGCAGTCTTGAATGCCCCAGGAGTTCCCAGTGTCATGCTTGGCCAATCATCGGAGTTCACCTCAGCCATCCAGCCATCTTTCAACCAGTCCACCACCAATCATCCTTTCTCAGTGACCAGACAATCAAAGGAGATGGTTGGAGTGGGAAGGAACAGTCCCATTTCACAGTGGACACCTAGATGACATTAGCTTATATTGTACTGACTCACTTGGCTGCTAACTCACCAGGAGGGAGCCTACTGCATTCTATCAATGCTGTGCTACCCAGTAGAGCCACTTGAATTGACTCAGGATTCAGCCTGGCAATCTCAGGGGCCGGAGATCCCCAGGAGAAGCTCCTCTGACAGACAGGTGGATTTCTGTTGGAAGAGATGTCATCATGTCCCTTGCCCAAGCCAAGGGACACCTGACCATCATATGGGGCACTGGCTTCTTCATGTCTCACTTGAGGATGTTTGGAAGGATGTTGGGACCGAGATTCCTACATCCTCTTATTAGTCTCATGGAAGGAAAAGGAGCAAAATGAACTTACTGTCTCTGCAACCTTGCTCAATTGGTGCTTCCTGACAGGCAGCACCCTTCTTGCACCCTCTGCATCAGAAGGGACCACAAAGGGAATTGTCCCTGTTGCAATGGCCATGTGGTCTATGACCTGAGCATGTACCTTGGCCAGCATGATCAATTGCACACTGAATGTCTTCCCATGCTGAAAGACTGGTCCTGCTGCAGCTGATTTCCCTTGAGGCAGTCCCCAACACTGGTCATAGAATAGTGGTTCATTGGGGTTCCATCAATCATAATGCATGGTGTTCTGGCTATGCAGTATGAAGTTGCTGACTGAAAAGTGGTAACCTTTAGTTACCTCCACAAGCTGACATTGTGCAATTGACAGAATCCCTTCCTTGACCTGGGTGAGGGTGCTCTTGGCGGGCATCTCATGTCTGTCTTGAATATTCTGTGAATCAATAAGCCAGGAGGCATGAAGGGGAAGGCGGCATGCATACCATAAAGAACCTTGCCCCCACTTGTTCCAGCTCAAAGTGGTACATGGCAAATTTGATAATGATAACTTCTGGCTTGACCTTGGCATACACCTGCTTTGCACACTGAGCTCACTCCATGTGATACTGGGCATGGTGTTCTGAGGAACCTCTAGCATATGGTATGCCAGAGGGTCCAGTGGAATGCACACTGGGGCTGATGGTCAGACTGGTCAACACAGCAGTGTTGGCAAGGGGCAGGCTGCTGATTGCCTGGACATAGGATTCCCCAACTACACTCTAGTTAGTAGTGTACATGGTCTATACTGAACAATGTACCATGTTGCTTTGCTTGATGATTCATCTGTTGAATCAGGTTGGGGTCCAGGCCAGGCAGCATTGAGAGTGGGGCTGGCCTCTCTTCAAAGTGCATCGATTCATGGAGACAGCAAGTTGTTGCCCAGGTAGTATTCTTTCTGCTCTTGTATTTCACCCAACAGCTTGCACAGATGGGGATGAGCTTGTGTCCCAATTCATCCTTCATTTGCTGGTAGGGTTGGCCCTCTCTGATGATGTGGTTGGGACTGGCAGCACACAATGCACCTTGGCTACAGGGAATAGGCACAGCAGCCATGTATGTCATGGCTGCCAGGGACAGATGCATATAAGCATTCAAGAGTACTGGGTTGGGTTGACTGTTCATGATGACAACTCAATGACTTGATGGGGATGAGGACAAGGGGTTTCAAAGAAGAGGAATGTTGCCCAAGGTTGAAGGAATGAAGAGAGATCAGTGCAGGTTGGTTTTTATGTCATCATGTCCCTTGCCCTCAGCCAAAAACTGATAATTTTCTGCTCCAAACAGTTGTGAGTGTGGGTTGGGGAAGATGCAAATGCCAAGATGTACCTTAGTACCCTGACCAATCACAGTTTCATTGCCTTCTTCCACATCTCCTTGTTGCCACATCTGCCCCTTCTTTGATGGATGTCCTTGGAGATGTCATCGTGTCCCTCGCAAGGAAGGACACTGATCGACATTATTCGGCCCAGTGCTGAGTTGATGCATATACCATGGCATCAGGAGTCTCGATCATTGCCATGGGTGTCTGTCTTGTTGAAGGTTCTCACCACAGATCCATATCCCCACATGTCACATGGCAGATGTCCTTCAAATCCAACAGACAATAAGAGGACTGACAGGATACTTGTTGCCAGAGATTGGGAGCGGGAGAAGCGAAAGAATATACTTGCTGCCCATCGAAGCTGCCCCTCTGTGGTCACACAGAGGATCAACAGAAAGGACAGGATTTGCATGCCCACTTTTGACATGTCAGATGTCTGTGAAATCCACCAGCCAATGAGAGGAGTGACAGGACACTTGTTGCCAGAGATTCGAAGTGGGAGAAGCAAAGAAAGATTTGCCCATCAAAGCTGACCCTCTGTGGTTGCACAGAGGTTCAATGGAAGGGACAGGATTTGCAAGGTGGTGCCAAGTCAGGGATCATCATCATCACAGCAGCAAGTCTAACCCCACACTGCCTTCATCACAACCCTTACATTACTAGTTATTGTGCCAGCCATCAGTTGACAACATTCTTGTCCTTAGGTTCTTATGGATGACAACAATGTCAACTTGAGCCAGCTGGGGGAGATCAGCAGCTTGAATGAGGGCAACTTGCACAGGAGGAAAGGGAACCAGCATCTCCCAACTGGTAAGTCATTTCCTGACTTCCTCCTGATGATGGAATGCTGATCACCTGCCCAGTACTCGATGATGAGCTCTTGCCACAAATCCGAGAATATTGGAGTCATGGCTTGTCTGATGCTCACATAGCTGAGGCAATTAAGTGCAATGTTGATGCTGTGAAGAGAGGGTTGGGACTCAGGTGCATCTTGATACCAGGAAGATGCTCAATGTCCTGCTGATATTGAAGTAGTAAAAAGACCATAGCCTGCTGGTGTAAAGAGCTGAAGAGTGTCTGTCAGCAAAGGCACACTCTTGAATCTATTTGACCATATATGGTGAGGCTTTGACAAGAATTTCCGCAGTCTGGCATTAAGAGGGATGGAAGGTCTACTGGTATTGCAGTATGTCTAAGCAATCAGACATAGGGAATTGAGACTGATATACTAAGCTAGCCACCTGATCTGTGAGTACAACCAGAAGCATCATCCGGAGGATGTCTGGCATCAAAAGGGCAAGTGACTTTGACACAAGCAGTTCGTATCTGCTGGTGTCTTCAACATTGTGGCCATGGATCAACACAATAAGTGGGCCCAATATGGATTATTTCTCCATTTGGGCATTGAATGCTTCTCTGGTTCACTTCTGTGGCTTTGAGTTTGGTGGACCAACTCAAATCCATGCCTTATCTTTTGGTTTTATCTTGAAATGGCATGTGCTCATAAAGGTCAGCCTGCAACTGATCTGCATGCATTTGCTGAGCATCACCAGGCATACTGCTGATCACCCAAAGTGATCCTGGCACTGAAAACAATGGTGTGGCCAACAGGCATACATGGTTGTGACAATGCCTTGATCCCTCTCTCATAAACCAACTGCAGCATTGATGGATGAGGGGGCACACAAACATAAAGCCAGAGATTAAATGGAGTCAATTGCAAAGAGAATTCACCCATGGCTTTGAGAATCTCTTCGCCAAGGGAGTGAGAAAGGGATGGTATGATTGGGATGACACAATGGAATAGTGAGCAAGTTGGAAATCAGTTTGTTAGTGGACTAAGCATGCTTTTAGCTATACATTCCACTGGATAGCTATTCTGTTCATCCAACACAAGCTTGATGAGTACGTACAAATGCACAACACAAGCCAGCCTTGACACAACAAATCCAAAGTCTTGCCCCATGGTCATCCAGAACACATCCTCCACCATCCCAGCCATTTCAATGCATTGACTTGGAAGGTACGGCCACTCGACATGCAGGAGCGCTTGACTGACCTTGTATAGATCCACATGGAGGAAGATGATCTCCTGGAAGCTGAATGCCTATATGCTCCTTGTGATCACCCAGTTTTCGAAATGGTCCCTACAGATTTTGACTGAGAGATAACCCTTCACTATGCAGCAATGGGTTATCTGGCAATTACAATAGACACCTTCTGGTCTATCTACCAAGCTTTGTGAGATTGTCTGAGGGAATCTCCTGCACACCAGGAGCTGATAATCACATTGTTACTGTGCAAAGAGCAGGAGATGACCTTGGCTCTGGAACATATGGAGACCATGACTGGGATGCAATTGGATGCCCCGGATAAGGAGATGGGGCTGTACTTGTTTGGCAGCCATGAGGAATCTCATGAGCTGCATGGAGAGCTCATGCAAGAGGTCAAGGATCTCCCAGGATGGTAGAATCACATTGTTGTAATTATCACCTTGTCACAAAATGGGATCACCGTTTTTCAAATGAGTGTCATTCAAACAACTATGGGCTGGTCAAAGAGCAGATACCATGAAGTTCCCATTGTTGGGTACATCAGTAAACAGTAGCTACAGAAAGGGATCATTTGATTGTCAACTTGGACAATTGGTGCAAAATGTGGGAAGCTTAGTGGACAGGGAGAGGCTTGGGATCCACAGGACTGGCAGTGAGAACAATTGACACCACAGGTGCATAGCCCTGGGACCAGCCATGCCACCAGACATCCCAGCTGTGGCACCAATTGTGGTAATACTGGGTACCAGTAGCTTCATATGACACACAAAGGTTCTTGCCAGTCTTGATGCCTTTGGCATACTGATGCTCAAAGTAGTGTTGGTCAGTGAGCTTGGCGAGGGTCTTCTTGGTGAAGACATGGTGGCTGCTGGCCACCTGAGCCGGTGCCTGGATCAGAGAAGGCATGGACTTGAACTGTGGTTCATAGGGAGGGGGAGGGTCATTCATGATTTGATGACCCATGCCAGTGGACAATGGCATGGAGGGTCTAGGAGCAGGGAGAGCCTGGATAGCCGGGCCATGGGTACACACGAGGCTACCCTCAAGGCAGGCCTTGGGATTTCATTTGAAGGAATAGATTGACCATGGCACTTGCCTCATCTATGGGGATAGCTAGGGCAATGTCTAAGACAAAGTCAGCAGACTGGGCAAAAGATGGGAATTGGAAAGTACTGACCAGGCCCCTTCTTAATGTTGTTGGAGATGTCATCATGCCCCTTGGCCACCCTAGATGGCACTGAGAAGAGGTGTTTGTCTGTACCTTTGTTAGCAGGAACAGATAGATGATTGATTGTTGGACTTACCAGGGACCTTGACCTTGATGTCATTGGAGATGTCATTGTGTCCCTGGCCCAATAGCAAGCGCTTGTCTGGTAAGGAGAGATCAGCATTGGATCAGGCCAACAGAGAGGAAACTTACCAGGAGCTTTGATGTCATTAGAGATGTCATTGTGTCCATTGCCAGCCATGCCAAGCCTGGGTGAGGCAATGGTACAATATCCAGTGGTATCTGTGATGATCACAGAACTGATGAGGTCATGAGAAGTGAGGGATAGGTCATCAGCCTCCACATAATTAGATTCTGCATATAGTCCTTAAGGCATACATGTAGTACTCCCCTTTTCTCTCACTCTTCTTCCTTAGCCCATCATTGCCATTCATGCAAGATGACAAGCTCAAGGACTGAGGCATCCCACATACTCTCTGTATTCCTTCTGAACTGTAATCCTTCACCCTAATCTTTACCTTACCTTGCATTCTTACTGAAGGCAATCAACAAAGCAGATCCAATACCCTGAATGTCCCCCCACTGTTACAATTGGAGGTTGATTTGGGATCTGCCTCCTGTCAATCCACCTTGAGAGCCATGACATGTCACCCTCTCCTAGCCAAGCCTCCAGCCCCCAGCAACTGGTGCAACCCCTGGAGTATAGCAAGTCTACTCCCACAACACAGATCTGATTCACTCCAGACAACTCCGAGGCCTCTGTGTTCTCCCCATCACAGGGGGCTTTTGGAGTGACACCTAGCTATAATAACCCTGTTGCTCCTCCTACTTGTGCAGGTCATGAATGCCCCCAGGCGATAGCTCCTTTCATAATTTCCCCCACACTGAGTCAACCTCTCACCATGACACAAGAATCTTTCCTGGGCTCAGCCAGCTTGAACAACCTTCTTCCTCCCCCAGGTGGACTGCCCTTGTACCCTATCCCAGCCCTCAGGCAAGAGGAGGGTGCAGTCACAGGCTCCAGTAGTGTTCTAGCTAAAGGCAACAACCCCATAGGAATGACTAGATCTTTCTCACCAATGGACAAAGAAGAGGTCCAGGAGTGTATGGCCCTGGCAGCCCACACTGATCCAACTGGCACCTCATACATTCTTAGACTCAGTCAACTTTATGACAACTTGGTGAGGTTTGCAAAGATGGGTAGAGATCGCTGGCAAACCCAAAGGACAGACAGCCAAGGGCAAAGCAAATGACAATTTTCAGAGGAGAGTCTAGCCATGGTCAGAGTAATGATTGCACAGCATGAATTGGAGTTAGAAGCTTTGCAACCTCTGATTCCTGATACAGTCAATGCAGCCTTCAAAGGATGTCACCCACACCCAGTCAATCCCAGCAGACACATTCATACTGCCTTGGCAAAACCTCACATCTCAGAAAGCAGCATGTACAAAGAATACAACATCTTGTGTGGCCAGTTTTGTTCTTGTGCCATAAGTCTCAAGAGATGTAGAGACTTTAAGCTCAGCCTTGTCACTTCATTGTCCATAAGGTCCACCCCTGCTCCAATCTACAAAGCCCTTCGAAATAGCACCCCCGGCATGGGGATGGCTATACATCATCAATTCTCTGAAGTGGAACTCTATCTGGGGGAGGGAACCCAGTGAATGAGCAAAATGACCTGCATATATCAAGCCCATGCACCACCTTTTCCTTCTATGGTTGACCCAAACTGCTCCACAGAGTCATGCCCTTCTATTGATCTTCCTCGCACTAAAGCAAGAACCATGCCTCTCCCTCATTCAACTCGCCTGTCACTGCTGGTGGACTTGATGAGGGTATTCAATCCAGTTGCCTAAGGAGATGCCATACCCCAAAGATACCCAGCAGCAGAGTGCTACTCCCTCCCAGAGGATCCAAGAGCTCCCATGCCACCCCTGGACCCCTCCCATGCTCAAGTCCCTTATGCCACTTGCTTATCCCAGGGGTATGCAACCATCCCAGGCGAGGCCGCCTTCAGGCATGCCCATGCTAGCACTGACAGCAAACCTCCTGCTCCAGGAAATAACCAGAGAGAGGTGTTTGCCCCAGAGGAGTCCTACTCATGGGGAGATGAGAACAATCCACAGCAGGACAAATTGCCAGTCCTGCCCATGTTGTGGGAACAATGCTACCCTTTGCTGCAAGACAAGGACCAAGCTTGTACCGTGATGTCCTTCTTTCCATTGCTGGACCTCAAATTCAAGCAGGAAGACCTCCCAGAGTGGAATGGGGACAGAGATACTGCTATTCTGTACTTCCAACAGGTACAACAGCTCCTTACACATGGGGGGGCCCTGGCCCAACAAATCATCCCCTACCTCCCCTCCTGCTTCTCTGGATCTCTCCAAGAATGGTGGATGGCTGCCAAACCTGCTCATACAAGTGCAGCAGTGGCAGATTGGGATGAGCTGAAGGTTTCCTCCTAGGCAGCTGGCTTGGAAGGTGCTGGGAGGAAAGGCAGAGGACCTTCTTCGACCTTCAGTGCTTCTGCCAACATGGACACAAGCAGGAGCTTCCCCAAGACTTCTTCATGTGGTGTCACCGGTTGATGGGGTACTTGTTCAGAACCACCTCTGGACCATCAATGGTATGCTTGGCTATGATGAGAGCCCCTTGCAAGTGGGTCATGCTGTTACCAGAGCACAACATTACCAACATGACTGTTCTTCTAAAAATGGCCAGCAAGTTTGAAGAACAGCTTGTTTATGTGGTACTGCAAGCCAGGCCTCTGTTGGCAGCCAGGTCTGCCAGAGCTCTACAAGGATACCTCACTGCAGTAGCAGAGGAAGAAGGGCCGGCAGAGGGCCCCTCCACTTTCTTAACTTCCTCCCATCCTCTTTGTCCCAAAGCCAAACAGCCTTGTTTCAGGTGCAACATGCTTCACAACACTAAAGGACCATTCCCCTTTCCTAAGGACAACAGTGTGAAGAGTGCTTGCTCTCCTTGTTACCCTTGCCAGCACTGTGGATCTGCCTTGCATTATGACAATGACTGCACACACACAGAAAGGGCTTGAGCAAAAGGGAAAGAAGTCTCTCTCCAGACTGTCTACATCACAGATCAAGATCCCAATCTCATAGACTCTCAGGAGGCCTATGAGTCAGAATATTACAACATGGTACTCACAGTCTCTTCCGATACCCCCTTTCTGGTCAGATCTTTGTTCGAGGGAGAAGATCCAGACAGATTCCCTTGTTAAACCTCCAGACCCCATCATCAGCCAGGATAACTATATGAACTGGGAGGAGCTGATGCCTCCATTATGAGCCCATTGAGTCTACTCTGTACAACAATTCTTGGCTTCTTATGTTCCTCCTTTTACTGAGCTTATGAATGATTCAAATTTTATAAACAAAAAAAGGCCTGACTCAATGAAGGCTTCCCTGTCTCCTGTAGTGCCATCTGTACTTTTACAATCATATCTCCTCCCAAAGCCTCACTGCTTGTCTCCTGTGTCATCTCCCTCCATGCATTCAGCCTTAACTGTGGCCCTATCTCTACCTCCTCTGCCTATAGCGCCCTCACCCAACTGCCAGGCCTTACCTGGTTGTCTATCAGAAGGCATGATTTTGTTATCCATGTGGGTTAAACCTATGTGACCTTCTGCAGACCCAGTTAGGGCTATTGCAGATTCCGGATCCAGCATATCATTGTGCTTGGAGGTGTTCTGGAAATCCCTGTGATTGCCCTCCATCCCTAAACTGGGCTAGCTCACGAGGCTAGTGCAGCTCACTGGGCATGCTTTCATCCTAGGCTATGTCACCCTGCCACTCTTTTTCTCCACTCCTGCTGGCAAAGTGAAGCTTGAGGCAGAACTGTATGTTGTCCCGGAGATGTCCACTCCACTACTGCTGGGAGAGGACTTCCTTCAGATGTATTCCTTGTCTACTCTTTGTGGTGGACCTCAGGGCTCCCATCTGAGGGTGGGATGTTCTGACTACTATATCCCTACCCTGTTGCCTGAGGTGTATGCCTGCCCAGAAGTTTGTTATGTCAATTCTGTTGAAACCAAGGCTATCATGAAGAAGCAGCTACACCACAGGAACAATAAGATCCATTGCAAACTCTGATTGATGATGGACAGGAATGCACACACAGTCATTTTGGATAGGGCAGTGCTTCTTCCTGCTCACTCCACTAAATGAGTTCCTGTATGGGGCCTTAATCTGCTCCCAACTGACCAAACCTTCTTCTTTGAACCTTGACCAACCCTCAAGGGTTCTTGTGGGCTCCCTTCTTCCCTCCTACCTGCTCCAGCCCTAATTACCTTGCCAGCTTTTATGGTCCCTATGGCAAAGGCCTCTGACCATGCCATAGAGTTGCTTTCAGGTATCCCTCTAGGCAAGGCTATCCCAGCAGACAAATACCTGGACAGTGTTGGTGATAAAAGTACTGAAGCCTCACAGGCTGCCACAGCCTCAGTGTTTGTTTCCTTAGCAAAATCGGAAATGGAGGAACTCTGGGGACCTAAAACCATGGAAATTGGTGACCCTGACCCCATTCACTTGGCTGCAATGGAGTCCACCCTTGATGTTAACCCAGCATTGACCACAGCAAATAAGAAAATGTTGTTTGCCTTACTCTGCTGAAACTTGAAAGCTTTCAGGTTTGATGGCCATCTCAGGCACTATCCAGAGCAGCTCAGGATTTGTCTATTACCTGATGCCCAACCAATCTCTGTGCCTATGTACAGGGCTTCCCCCACAAAGCAGGAAGTAATAGATAAACAACTACAAGCCTGGTCCAAGCAAGGCATGATTGAGGTGTCTATCAGCCCCTGGGCTTTTCTGGTGGTGATTGTGTATTGCAATGGTAAAGTGCATTTTTGTGTTGACTATAGGAAATTAAATGCTTGCATGGTGCCAGATGAGTTCCTGCCAGGCAGAAATCATTCAAGCCCTCTCCAGTGCTCAGTTTCTATCTTCCCTCAATGTGTTGGCAGGGTTCAATCAAATTGAACTTGTGCCCAAAGACCACAAGAAACCCACTTTCCACACACATGCAGGGCTAATGCAGTTCACTTGGCTACCCCTTGGCCTCTGGAATGGTCCTGGCCAGTTTCAGTGCATCATTCAAAGTATCCTGGCTCCTTACTTGTGGCTGTTCTCTCTGGTGTATATTGATGACATCATGGTATATTCATGCACCTTTGAAGAACACCCCTTACACCTAGACAAAGTGTTGACTGCCATTGCTGCCTTTGGTATCACTCTATCCCTGAAGAAATGTCACTTCGGTTATCAATCAATCCTGCTGCTGGGGCAGAAGGTCTCATGCCTTGGGTTGTCCACACATGCAGAGAAAGTTCAAGCCATCTTAGCCTTAGCTCCTCTGAAGAACATCCCAGATCTGCACAAGTTTCTGGGCATGGTTGTGTATTTCCAGCAATACATCTTCCATTACTCCACTATCAGGCAACCTTTATTCAATTTGCTCAAGATGGGAGCTGCCTGGAAGTGGACAGATAGGGAACAGCAGTGCTTTGACAATGCTAAGAATGCCTTTGCCTCCACCCTGGTGTTGGCGCATCCTATCTGGGGGCTCCCTTACTGCTTATACATGGATGCCAGCAATGTTGCCCTTGGTGCAGCCCTCCAACAAGTTCAGCCCATTCATGTGGCGGATCTGGTTGGGATGAATGCATACACTCAGCTGAAGCATGCCTGGGTGTCAGGGCACCAGCTCATTGCTTGGTCAAGAGACATGACTAAGCCTTTATGACATGGAAGTAGCTGGTATACCTTGGCATGTGCTGGAACCTGCTGGAAGGATTGGATGGTCAGGTGACCTGCTGTGCATGGCTGTGCATGACCTCATATGACCTCATCCTTGGTCATATGACCTGATCACCTGACTAGGCTGAGTAAGCAAGATGTTCTAGCAGGTTCCACCACAGAGGTATAAATATAAGGCCTACTCTGCCTGGGGACTGTCTCTTCAGACTTGGTCTCTTAGGATCATCCACAGGTACCTATACTGTAGATAGGTCTTAGTCATCAGGTCTACTCCACTTCCTTGTTGCCTGCTTAGACTCTTGGCACTCTTAGGTGAGCAGACTTAGTCAGCCTGTGTTGCCCTAACAGCCAGCAGTTTTGTGAATGAAGCTTCTACAGGAAGAGCATGACTTGCCATGGAGGGGTGGACACCTGGGAGCTTGGAAGCTCCTGGAGAAACTGAGGGATCATTACTACTGGAGGACTCTCAGGACTGATGTGTTACTATGGGTGCACACATGCAATGTCTGTCAGAAAATCAAGCCGGACTGTACCGGGAAGAAAGGTCTCCTCCACCCCTTGATATCCCGAAACACCCCTATGAAGCAATCTCCATGGACTTGATCTCAGCCTTACCCAAAAGTTCTGGGTACACAGCTGTGCTAGTGTCAGGC